AAAAATCATTTTCCATAATAAAATACATGATCTTAGAGTTTATTTCTTTGAAAGATTATTTGCTGTAAAGACGACATTATGCTAAGGTTTACCTTTTGTTGAACACTATTTGTCTGATAGTTATTCAATTCTATTTTCAATTCTATATCTTACAAAAAATATATATACTTTTTGCGCCGTCCTTCATAGTACCTCATGGTTAGGGACAGAAAAAACTCTCAACAACCTTTAGATAAAATAACATTACTTCCGGACACATAAGAAAAAACACTTTACATGACTTAGGGTCTGTCCTACCATTCTTGTAAATTACCAGATAATAATCGAACGTATAAAATATGCGATGGAAATATCGGATTTTGGTACTCTATCTGAGAGTGACGTCATTTTCAAGCTATCTGAGCCACTATTTTGCCACCTTATGGTATAAAAAAACATAATAATACACAATAACATTAAACAGCGAATTAATTAATAATTTAACTTATAGAAAACTGTTATTTCTATACTTAGCTAGCCCAACCGCTACGGGTACTATTAAAGTTTTTTCTTGATCAGTATTTGAATAGCCATTCTCCATAATATAAATTGCCCTTGAGTGTAAAAATAAATGTAGCTAATTCTAGACATGTAATTACGCAGTAAAACTAAACATTTAATTTGCACACAGGAGCATAATCATTCCTAATTGCACCGGGGGACTGGAAAACAAATTATGAGAGCATGTACAATTTCCTCATACATTGCATTACATTAATCCCTGGATTAAATGCTTCAACGTAAGGTAAGATGTAGAAAATATTTATGAGTCAAAAGTGAGTCTTCAGAACAGCTCAATGTATCTCGTTGCAGTTTCACATAGAGGAAGAACGCAAATGCTTCTAATTAAGGTACCTAAGTTAACAAAGAAATGTGTCATTCACAACTAGATCAAAGCAAATCTAAGCTTGAAACCATTCATTCATTCAAAACTAACAAGGCACTGTTGATTATTCAAATTTTTATTTAGCGAAATTAGTACGAAGATCACATAGAAAAGAGAAGTTAATCTATATCTATACTAATATAATAAACCGTAAAAACACACTACTTTGTGGCGTAGGATGTCAGCAATCAAAGCATATTTATGGATAATTCTTTCTTTAATAAAAAACCCTATACTTACGGCATGCTTTAGGCTATACATTTCACGCTATTAAACTTAGGGCGTAAATAAATAGGAAAAAAAACCTTCATGTAGAATACGGACAAAACTACAAGCTGCCAACATTAAGGCCGCAAGGTTATTGTGGAAACGGTAGTTTTGACATTTGCAATTGAGAATTTGACAAATGTAAACAATAAAATAAAGTTTTTATAATTTCATGCCGATGCTAAGCTAGTACTTAATAATCTTAAAATCATTGATTAGTTATCTAGTCGTGGATACATAGATGAAGCATCATTGGATGCAAAAAATGACTCTTACAAAGTTTATTGGACAAACTTACAGTGCAAGTAGCGCGCCGCTAGAAATAGACTTGTTTTATTTTTAAACCACATTCTCTACAACGTACGAGCAGTAAAGCGCACTCTTCTTATTATACTGCAAATGTGAGTAATAAGTTACCAACTTTATGTAATAAGGTAAAGAATAAAGGGGCTGATGAAGATCTGGACTGCTCTTTCTATAGTTACTACTAGAGACTTTCGAAACACCTTCATTTGTATTACATTTTTTTAATACAAACACACCCTATGTTTGACCGATTTCCCAAAAGAATTAGGTACTCAAATCGTCTGTCTGTTTTTTTTTTATTTTATTTTTATGTGTTACGGCATAACGCCGCCGCTAGTGGAGCGACTTTGATCATTCTTTTTTTATCCGAAAGGTAGTGCTTGCAGCTGCGTCCTATTTTTTGTAAAAGCTAAAGATCATAAGTATGTAACTGTAGTAGTAAAGTGGCAATTGTCATCTGTATTAGCAGGGTCGGTGTTAGGGTAAAGCGTTGTTGGGCCACCGCTCAGGGCGCTGGACAGAAAGTAAGGTATAAGTTGAATAATAAAACTTACTATTTAGATTCAATGTGTAATCTTACTTAATATACTTAAAATAGTATTTCCAAATCATATCCTGAACTTTTCCTACGATTAGATCCAGATAGATTTTATATATTACTTGGTTATAATTCTTTTTAAATATATTTTACGGTAAGATGAATGTTATCTGAAAATGCAGTCCATTGTTTTAACGCTAAATCATTTAACGGCAATATGTCGTAATTATGGTAACATAAGATTTATAAAACGGTTCATTATAACATGTTTGTGTGATATTACATAGGTTATTTGTTACAGATAATTTTAAATTTAAAATTTCTTTATTACAGCCATTAGGTTCAAAAAACGAACTATAATTCTAAGGAGTATGAACATGAATATGAAATAAATAATTTGAAGTTTAGTTTCGGCGAAGTGAGGGTTAGACATTTTATTGCGGAAAATGTTGATAAAAAATCTTTATTACATAACAGAAATAACTCATTGTTTTTAAAGATTTACTGCTCATTATTTGCACATTTTATGTAACTAAATATTGACAACCTTGAATTTTCTGAAATCCCGATATCATCGCACTTTATGTACAAAACAACTAAATTGTGTAATAGAATGGCTAGATTATTTTTATTTGTATTTAGATAAGTACAATCTTTATTAATTAATTCTTACATTAATATTTTAATTATATAATGTTAAGTATATGAGAAATTTTGTTGTTAAATGTTAGTAGCCTTTGCCACATTGTCGTTAATAATAAAGTATAGGACATAAAAGTGTATTTTTACATACTAGACCAAAATAACACCATTATCAGCTTACTATACTTGCCCACTGGGGATCAGAGTCTTCCCTAACTTAGGGGTGACCAGGCCATAGACAACGCTGATTGAGCACGTGTTGATTAACTTCATGCATATCTTTTGTATTTTCTACGATATGTGCAAGTTGCAATTTGAAAATCGAAAGAAAATACAGATTGGTCTATGGCGAAGATCGAACCTAGGCGTAAAGATTAAAGTCATTCAGTCAAGCTCATAAAAACTGCGCACATATTTTGTAAATAACATTTTCACAACCTTATTTACAATGTAAAGTGGCTGGCATATATCCAGAGGTCAAACGCTTTAATTGCTAATTGTATATTATAAAAGTATAACAATATTCACATCCCTCTCATAAAAAAATATCTCCTATCTTTATGGCATTGCATAATAATTTCTTCGTATTGTAAAGATAAAGGTACGAACGTCACTTGTCATTTGTTTATTACTCATTTTAACACGCTCACTGCGAATGTACCATGACTAACATTTTATTGATCCAAATTCATTTACAAACAGCACTTTTCATTCACTATATATGTTGTTTTTTCATCATTTTTGCATGTCCGCTATTGTAGACAAGGCCGGCGTTAAGGTAGGGCGAGGTTAGATTAGTGACTAAGCACTGGACAAAAAGGGACGCCACATTTTTTGTAGTTTTATGAAGAAATGTAGTGAACGCCTACTGTAGTAATCCGACGGCAATGTACATAATCAATACCAGCGGAACTGCATGTGTTGTCCTTTAGGACAAAATAAATTATTACATAAGGAATAATAGAATGGTTTACTATATTTAAGGTTATTATGGATGAGTTAACAAAGGGCCATTGTTACATATTGTGTGATACTTTACATGTTTTAGTTATCTTTTGTTAATGATTGAATAGCAAAAGTATTCAATTAATTGCCATAGGGAAACGAAATTGTTATAAAAATAAAACTCAAATTCATGTCAAAAGACAAAACTATTTTTATAAATACAACTTCAATTATAGCCGTAGGTCAGAAAAAAGGTTATTGTAGGCTCTGGTAGAGGGCGCTAAATTACAACAAGATAAGTGGCGCTGTTTATGAATCGACCAATATAAGTCAACAGACTTTTTCGCTATTGAAAATCCGTAAACTCATCTGTACTAACTTTAGTACTGCAGTCAGTATTGAATTTAATTTTACATTTAAATGTATTTGTTTAGATGAAATGATATGTCATTGTGATAATTTGTATGCTAACAACGGGAAATACTATCAAGAAATAAATGTAAAGATAAGAAGATCGTGTACTAAGGTGTGCAACACGTCTCACGCATCGGACATTATGATACATTTCCATAGCGGATTTTCAAAACATGCAAGAGCACGCTCAGCGCATGCAATAAAATCACGTTTTTACATAGCCTAGTTAATATCTGACATTGCACAGTGAATATTTTTTATAGATTAACTTTCAGCCGTGGTCTTGCTCGCCTTTTACTTTCGATTTAAACATGATTTAACTGGAATCTATTATTTATAATAGTGACTATTGTCCTATTGGGACAGTCAGACAATGTATATGGTAGCTGATCTTTGGCTGACTTTAGACCAGAAATTTTTATTTAGTTTTCTATAAAGATACACGGTAACGTAAGTACAATTTATATAAAAAATTGTCATGGCCAAAAAATTACATCATAATTTTTATCTATGTAGACACCGACATTAATGTTTACCACAAACGACATCTTATCATTTAGTCCCATCACTGACATGTATCATGACCATTTCTTGTTATATTTAAACCGATTGCTTTTTACATAAAATTACCGGTCAATACTAAAATCCTGTAATGTAGAGTTCAGACCATTGTCCGTATTATTTTTGGGTTTAAATAGGCTAAAAATACGCATGTGTCGGCAAATATTCAAAAGTACGTTCGTGGCATCGCTCCGGCTCCGGTGTCTCCAACAGCGCCGGACAACGCGTTGCTAAAGCACACATGTGCAACGTAACCGCGTGCAAGCGTTTGCTCCAAACACACTTATTGCAATGGCATAAGAACTACCTGGCGTGACGCCGAACTAATCTGTCCGATAAACACAGAGCAAAAGCGTGCGCTCGCGCCGTTTTGCCTCATTCCATTCCGCTCCGAGTGTTCCGAATAGTTCGTTCGCCTCGATTCGGTCAAATTCAAACTTTCGTTCAGTTGTTCACTCGCCGCCGCCGCGTTGATACTTCTCGCACGCGTTCCCTCGCACTATGTACCAGCAAACCAACAACACATAAACCTTCCAAAATGAAGCCGAATCGGTTATAACGTTAATACTTTTAAAAACCCATTAAATTTTAGTTCGAATATTATTATATTGTGATATTTAGTTAGTATCCACTGTTATTATTTATATTATTACCATGGGTTCAAATTTTGTTATATAGTCTCTTTAATTATTAATATAAAAGCAGTGCTCAAGATAATCTCATTCCAAGACATCCAGTAATTGATTTTTTAATTTGAATTATTATTTTAACATTTGCAATGACAGCCAAAACTCGTTCGCATTGGAAGGAATATGGAACCGCACTATGTGGTAAGTTAATTTCTAACCTATTTGTTACATTATAAACCATGTGTTTACCTAATCAATACTAACTTTCTGATTAATTTAGTACCATACTAATAATTTCTAATATGAAAAATGTTGCTTCTACATGAAATAACACTTCTGTGTTCTGTAATTAATATTAATGATTGGTGAGATCCGTTTTGTGAAACGTGTACGTCTGCGATGTTGGCTACAACATAAAGTTAAAAAAAAACTCATTCAGACATTTTGCGCTTTTTATTTTTTTTTTAGTTAAAAATTTAGGAATGTTAATTAACAAATCTTAAAACTTTCGTTTTTCCGCACGAAAAATTTCCTGCATAATTTTACTAAAATAATATTAAATTTTATTTCCGCGGTGTAACTTAATACATGATAAATATTATTGTTAAATACATAATTTTTTTTGTACAAATACTGTTTAATTTCTTTTTGCAGTAGTAAACTAAGCATTTTTGGATTTTAGTTGCTTTAGTTTGACACCTTAGCCGTTAGAAATCCAAGAGTTTCAAACAATCATACGAAGAACATATCCACTTACACAAAAGTGATAAGCGACTGGTTCTTCCCAAATGGAAAAAACGACTTTACAGAGCTTATCTGGAAAATAGCAAAAAAATATTACAATAGATGTAAAAATTGCATTAATATTCTTGCAAGCTAAGGTGATTAAAAGCTTCACCTGCCTATTTTATGTTACGTAGTAGTTATACTCAGACATTAAATAAATGAAGAACTAAGTACATGACCTGAGTTTCCACTGTCAAGACATGTTCAAATCATACTGTTATCGCTGTTTATGCAAATTATATTTTATACATACTATTATGTATAAAAACATGTTTTTCGACGGTAGACATTCACGGTTACACGCGCAAATTTACAGATTCTATGAATTAGATAACTCTATTCACGTAAATTTTATTATGAATGATATTACGCATTAAACAATCCATCACTTTTTGTACACAACATTATGTATTTTCGTTTTTATTAGCGCTTCAAAAATGATCAAGTGTAATTGTTACTATGTTTACATTGACGCTTTGGTAATCTTTATTACCTGATTTATCCTTGAGACCCCGTCATTTTATGTGAAATAATGATTTAAATGTGTGACGTCACGTTTCCCCGCATGTCCAAACTCAGTAGAAAGGCGAATTGAAATTCGCTTCTTTCAAGTAACTCGATAAGTTGTACATTAACCAGAAAAATGTAGAGCAACTTAACAGTACATTAAAGTGCCTAAGATTTTTAAATTTACTGTTAACTTAACTATATGTCTATAAACTTTCCACAATATATTGTAGTTTATCAAGTAAGTAACAAGAATTAACCACACACTTTTTTATTAAATTACGAGCTGTTGTCCGCGACTTCGTCCGCGTGGTATTAGAAAACGTACGAACTATATAAATAACAAAAAGCTACGTATCCCTCGGGAACTGGACACCTCGGGGATGAAGCTTATCCCATGTATACTCCAGACTTTATTTTACATCTGTGCCAAATTTCAATAAGATATGTTGAACCGTTGCAGAATGATCGAGTAAACATTATAAACCTAAATTAATGAATCCCACGGGAACCGTAACTTATCCCGGGATAAAAAGTAGCCTATGTGTTCTTCCAGACTATGCTCTAAACCTGTGCCAAATTTCATGGAGATCCGTTCAGCCGGTCAGGCTACAAACGCTAACAAACATCCATCCACCCATCTAAACTTTCGCATTTATAATATTAGTAAGATTACAATTCTAGATTTATTAGAAATCCGATATAGCACAAACTATGTAAGTTTCCAAAGCTGTTTGTAAAACAAACTTGCAGTTTCGCAGAATGGCCGTTTTGAACTGGAATAAACATTCGTTAATTGCATTGTTTACGCATGGAGACCTCCTTTAATATGAACCGTCTCATTGTAATATAATTTACACATAAATATAAAATTCTAAATATAAACGATAGCCGCATAATAAGCATAAATGTACTATTTAATGGATATCTTCCTCCTCTATGTTCCCATATAAGATCTAAGCATTTGCAGTATGTTAAGGTAGAAATCTCTAGAACTTTTTTACTACTACATCCGTCGCGCCTATAAGGAAATAAATATCAATGCTTAAAGACTTATAAAACCAATTTACACTTAATACTGATAAATAACAATGATCATAATATATTTATGTATAATCGCGATAAAATGAATTAGCTATAAATGCAACTTACACTTTTGTAACTAGTAACTAGCTTTCGCACGCGACTCCGTCCGCGCGGAATAAAAGAAACAATAGTAAGTAGCCTTTGTGTTCTTCCAGACAATCCTCTACATCTATGCCAAATTTCATCGAGATCCCTTCAGCCGTTTAGGCTACAAAGTCTAACAAACATCCATCCAAACTTTCGCATTTATAATATTAGTGAGATTCAAGGATAAAGGTCTTGCTACTTCTCTAAGCAAAACCAAGATTTTAAAACATTTTTAGAAGCTATTTATGTCGGACCTGTCGGCTCAGGTAAAAACGTAAACTATTCAACAAGCCTTTATACAATTTTAACAGAAAATATACTCTATCCTAATAAACATACAGTTGAATATTGTTTATAATAAATGTAATTAGTGAATATAAAATGCAATAGAAAAAAAAATTACTCGTGGAGAATAATTTGACACTATCTCATTCAGATCTTAATGTTTTTCAAAACATTCCAAACTAATTAAACGTGTATAGAATGCAACTTACTAGCGTATGAAATATATTTCCTCAATGAGTTAGTATTATTATTCTAAATACTGTTAATTGTAAATGAAAAATACTAAGGGACTCTTCCTTTAAGGCACATCTTAATTCTGACTTAGTTATAAACTATACAAAAATTACACAATAGTCAAGGAAGTTTACGAAATAATAATTATTATCGTGGAATCTCATGAACGCTCTAAATTATCTTTAATTTATGATAAAAAAAAAACGATTTAATGTTCTTTTTAACGTAATCCAAAAAACAAATTCTGTAATTGAAGGAAGAATCGAATATTTAAACCTTTGATAAAAGTCAAAGATGAACGTAGAACATAGGTAAGTTTAATAATACTCAATTCAAAATGTTTAGGTAAATGCAAATTCTGCGTCATAGAAAGATTTACAACAAAATCTCATATCGCCCGTAATTACAAGCTTTAAATAATACAATGTTTTATAATTTGTTGTTAAAGTGTCAATATTGACAGATCTATTGCGTTATCGATTGTAATAAAAAAGATTATACCCGTATCATCGATTATTATCATAAATTTAAAACGCAATTTAAACGATTGTATACAAACAAAAAGATATTTTCAATTCAATTAAATTTTCTTGCTTTGTGGAACACTAGCTGTTGCTCGCGACTTCGTCCCCATGAAATTAAGTAAATAATAAAAGATATAAATATAGCCTATGTTACTAACAGATAAATTACCTTTATAATGGTGAAAGAATGTTTGAAATCAGCCCAGTAGTTTTTGAGGTTTTTCAATACTCAAACAAAAAAATGTGAAAATACAAATCTTTCCTAGTTTATTAGTAGATGTAGAAACAGTATTCTCTGTTTTCAATTATTTTATAGCAAACTTAATACGTTAAGTGTCACCAACTTGTCCTGCAAAATTACTTAATCGCCCTCTTAACAACTTCATACGTTTTTTTTTTAACTTTTTATTTAAAGTAAACACAAAACGAACGCAACGCAATCGAATTCCTAAAAAATCGTCAAGCAATCTTAACCACAGCGTATTTAAAATATCATATTAACAATACCCCTTTGATACAGTAAAAAAAGTAATTGAATAACAAACCTTATTTGTCAACATCAATTCAAACTGCAAAAGACTAGAAATAATTTTACTACCAACTACAAATTAATCAGAGTTAATTACAGGGAAAATAACGTCAAAGTAAATTTTCAATAGATCGATTCGGTTTGTCGTTATGATTGTATTGTTTGAGCATGTCATAAATCACTTCACGTTGGACATGCTATTGTCAAACGGCGGCCTGTGGAAGAATTGCTAATTGCCTATTATGTACATTATGTTACATCGTACGCTTAATCCTATAATTTTAAACGGTTTACAAACAATTGTTTAATACGGTTATCAATTTTAACTTCAGTAACGTGTTTAAAATAACTATTAACTTTTCCTAGATCACTTTTCTCGGTATTTACCTTCATAGTCTTTCAGGCAATCTTTAAGGCAGTGAAATGAATTTTAATAATTATTAGGTAAACAAAATATTAAATTATTAATTATTGATAATTTAATTTTTGTAACAAAACAAAAACGTCTAGAATAATTAGTCGGGGAGCATAATGATAGAAATAATCTGCCTATGATAACCCCATCGACGAGTGAACTTACAGTTTGTTTGCTAACTCGAATAAAAACGTCATACAATACGCTTGATTAGTATGCAAGAGAAATTACATTATAAACTATCACGTTTGTAAAATGAATTCGGATAGCCAGGGACAACAATCGCATTATTACTGAGAGCTTTATTAGCTCTCAAATGCAAGATGTTATCTGTTTGGTTCACAAGGGTAAACATATTTTGTTTCTAAATGAACTGCTCGGTGTGGCCTTTATTGTCGAAAACTAGTTCAACATAAAAGTCATTGAATGGTATATTAATAAGTTTTTACGTAAATGTCTATTATCAATACTTTTGCTTAAAACCAAACAAAGTAAGGAAGACCAGTGACTGGCACTCTTGTTTACTTCTAAAAAAGGTCCATAAAATACATGATTAAAGGTATGTTTTATCACTGTGAATTACTACCAGTCATCCGCTGAATGAGGCATCTATTACCTTATTTGCCACGCTGGTATAGCGTGGGTCGACCTAATGTTGTTACATTACTTAAACTAATCGATACATCCTAAGTAAGCGTATTGAACATACTTGTTCTGTCTTGTAAGATGTGGTAGTAATATCAAGCAC